TTTTTTTTTTTTTTCCTTCCCCTCCCCCATGGACTTCAGTTAAGTTTCTCAGGATCCACATAATAATTAATTTTGAAACATTGTACAGAGGGCCATTGAGAAAATGTCTCATTCTGCTTAGTGCTGATTATGCATGCTCTTCTGAAAGTAGAACATCAGCCTGATGTGGGAAGATCATTTCATTTCTAATATCCATTTAGTCAAGATAAAAAATTAGCAATAAATGCAGCTTGTGTACAGAGGCCCTGGCCAATGAAATCAAAGAGGTCGGGTTTCTCCCTTTAGACAGCTCTGGAGACATTCCCCCCTTTGGGAATGTCTCTACTAGCTTAAGTAGCTCTTTCCAGAATAATGAAGTGTTAGCTATTGATGCTCTCTTAGCCCCCAGGCTTTCTCATCAGCGTTAGTAGCACTTCCTAATACCTTTCAGAACATGGTCTTCACTTCCATGGGTCTAAATATGTTAATTTGGACAAATGTGTTTCTAAATATAGAGCAGATGGACACATTGACGGTAGTTATGGGCAGGGACTCCTCAGCACTTGCCTAAGTCCTTAGTGACCCAGGCTTTATCTTCGTCATCTGTTTACCTGCCAACATGTTAAAAGTGGACAGGTTGGTCAGTTTCAGAGAAAATACAGACACATGTACATTATTCTTCTCTGGTTTTCTAGTTTCTCTGCCTTTATATAGGCAGATGCTGTTACGTTAGCAGTGGTGCAGAGCAAACACTGCTGTTGGGGCCCGAAGGCCTGCGTTTAGTCTTTGCTCCAACAATTGTTAGTGCCTGTGACCTTGAACAAGTAATTAAATCTTAGGCAATAAATGAGTCCCTCCTTGTGGCAGTTAGTGTGTTAGACTCTGAGGATGGGGGGGGGAGGGGAGGACAACATTGACCATGGTTTCATTTGTCTTTTTCTGTCTTTGAAGAACATAACTGAGTAACAGGCAATTAAAATGTCCAACTCTTATCTATTTCATTGCTTTTTTGTTTTCAATGAAATAATAAATGTGGAAGGATTCCAATAAACTCTAGAGGATTATCCAGATATATGGTATTATTTTATTGTAGTGTATTCCATTGACACACATAATTTTACATATTCAGAATATCTTGGATACAAAGGCCTCCAATGTCAAAGAAGAGTTTCTGAGTAACAAATGAATTTTGCATGAAAGTAACAAGGTAAAAACCAAGAAGAATCTCATATAACTGATCACATAATAACTCATCACATTCCCTAACAAGTCCCTCACACCCTGTGTAATTTAAGCATGAAGGGATTCACTCTTAGGTTAAGATTCTTTGCCTTGTTCACAAACAGCACAATATAGAAATCTGTGTGTTAGGTTTTATGATTCTTCAGAAGTTCACAGTTCTCAACACAATTGAATCTATAGGGTTTTGTTTTGTTTTTTTTCTCCCTTTATGGTAAGCCCTTTTTGTGTCCTGTTTAAGAAATCTTTGTCTACGCCAAGATGATGAAGATTAGTTTTAGGTTTTTAGTTTTTCTTCTAAAAGCTTTATTGTTTTGTCTTTCCCCTTTATCTCTACAGTCCATTTGGTATGGATTTTTATTTTTTATTTTTTTATTTAAAAAAAATTTTTTTTTCAACGTTTATTTATTTTTGAGACAGAGAG